CAGTGCAATCTCAAACGACAGTGTTATTGGAATTCAATGTTATAGACCAACACAATGTAGGGCATAGCATGAGCTAAAAGCCTGAAAAACGTTTGGGTTTACATTCAATTCCAAAAGGTTAATACTTTAAAAAAGTTTTTTTTTTTACTTTTTTTTTTTTGTTATAGCTGTGAGTTTTTTAAAGTGTGTCTCACTGTTTTGGCTTTTTTTTTTTTTTTTTTGGCTAGAGGGCTCAATCCATTTCCTGGAGATGGTGTCAAGTATGGACACAGATTAACAATTGGATTTAGGACTAACTCATTCTGACACATAGGTACGCTTTGATCTAACTCATCCCACCTTTGCTCTTATAAATTTAGGGACATCCTCATGTTGAAAGATGAACATTCAACAGATTTACTTACAAAATTGCCCCCAAATTTAGCTCCAACAGCATGATGCTGTGTACAGGATGATGTAGAGTGTTGCATTTCTCCCACACTGCTTTCAACAGGTTGACAAAAAAAAAAAAAAAACTCCCTCTGACCAGAGTGGTTTCTTTCACATTAGCTGCCCCTACTTATTGCTTTCAACAATAACTAACATTAATTTTCTCTAGAAAAGTTAGTGGCAAAAAGTCTGATTTGTGAAATATTTGTCTAAGTTGTGGTAACACTTTATTTGAAGGGGGGTGAATAAGACTGTCATGACACTTTCATAAACATGACATAACACTTTCATGAACATGAATAAGCCTTCATGAATATTAATGAATGTTGTCATAAAGCGTCATTCGGTAAATTATGACACTTTTAATACAAAGTTGACATTATTCAAAATGTCTTTGTTATGACAACTTGACATTAACCAAGAAATCATTACTGTTTAAACTTTACCTTTAATAACATAAAGTTACCTCATTTTTAAAGTATAATCAGTAATACTTTTATAACAAATTTATATCAGTAATAATTTCTTGGTTAATAACCAATATATTTTTCTTTCCACTTCAAGCTTACACATTACAATTATAACTTCAATAAAACACACTGACCTTTGTCAGTGTATTGTTACAAAGGTCAATGGACATGGCTACTTTTGTTTTGACTGAATGTTTTCTCGTTTTTGAACAGCAAAGAATTTCACCGAGTACTACCAGGAGCATTTTCTTTTTAGAAATGCTGTGCTAATCGTAACATTTGCTTTCTGGGAATATTTTCTGAAATTCTAGAACAGCCTTGTACAGTAGTACCACAATTATTACCGTAATCCACACAGTGGCGCTGGTGTGTTAAAAAGGGTCGTCAAAGATACTACCGGCAAGATGAAGCCTTCAATCATTATATCTAGACAACTCTCAACTTCTTATACCTGAACATCCGTTTCCATGAACTCAGAATTTACAGCTGTTTATAAATAATATAAAGACCAGATTAGTACAGTTAATTAAAATTATTTTTCCGGGTTTTCTTGAAAAATCGTTTTAATTAACTTGTACATTAAACTGTTTTTAATAACTGAGTTATAACTCACGTTTTTTCTTCTTCTTTGTTTAAGTACAAATCTACATCTATCATAAAACATAGGTATTTAATAATCATTTAAAAATAAATAAAAATTAAAAAACTGTCCCGGAGATAAAATGAAGGTGCGCATAACGGGATTTTTGCCAAAGCGGAAGTAGATGGCAGAGCTCCTCTTGTCTCCTCTGATGTGCATCCTGGAACTCCTTGCTGGAGGAGACGCCAGGCCGCCCCTGACAACAGAGCCGCCCCTATCTGCCGTTAGCAGCGAGTCGGCAGCCGTTAAACAGCACAGCCCTTTGTTTTAGTTGTAGCTGACCCCTCAGCCTCTCATTTAATTACCCGTGTTGAGTATCTTTCACCATGGCGGCGAGCGCGAAACGAAAACAGGAGGAGAAACATCTGAAGATGCTGAGAGAAATGACGAGTTTGCCTCCCAATAGAAAGTGCTTTGACTGCGATCAGCGCGGCCCAACCTATGCCAACATGACTGTGGGTTCTTTCGTGTGTACCTCCTGCTCTGGCATCTTGTGAGTATTAAGTTGCAGACGTGAGCCACAGCTTTTGTGCGTACGATATGTAGAGTTTCAGGTGACGGGCGAACCAAAGCTGTTCACGTAAGCTAACATGAGGCATTTATTTCCAGATAGGTTGTAGTGAGCGTGGGCTTCGCTGCTTGACATTGTCTGGTTGTGTTGTATTGGGCGGGGTGCATGAGTTGTCAGTGCCCCCACAATGGAACTGAAAGGGCGACCACCCTCGATGCTAGTTAACTTTAGCTTCCAGTGCTAGCCAGTGAACTTATCTTGCACTTGGAAGCTACAGATAAGCCTTTAGCCAGATGCTGCTACCAGTTGCTGTTAACGTTAGGAAGCCCCCACTCCGACTAATGTTACTTAGTAACCATGTCTCTTTATAGAAAGAGCCACACCAACACACCTTTTAGTTATTGATTTGAACGTCACTTTTTTTTTTTTTTTTTGGGGGGGGGGGGGGGTTAGAAATTTGATCCTGGGGGGTCTCAATTTC